TATAAAAATGAAGAAAAAATATATAGAGAGAGAAAGAGAGTGGTGAAGCCATAATAAACAGTCATTTCAGATTTTAAAGAGACTTTTTTTAATAAAGACTTGGACTTTTACTTATGCATTAACTGTTTCTTGTAACTTTGAAGTTACTTACTTTTACATATGCATTTGAATAAAAATTGATCAGGAGATTAGGTGTTTTACTACTTTTATTACGTCACATAATAGAAAAATTAAACCTAATGGTAACAGAAATTAAGCCAATAATATAAAAAAATTAATAAATTACGACCCCACTGATCTGTGACAAATGGTTTTGTGTCTTTATTTTATACTTGTCTTAGAGAATGCTCATTATGCTCCAATAAACATGTGAATTACAGGATTTATGTAATAAACGACCAGTTTCTTTGTTATCAATTTTTTTAAAGGCTGTGAAAAATTAGAGCATCATGTTTACAACTCCTTATCTTTCAATGATCCTACATGTTTAAGGAGCCTTTTTTTACGGTTGCTGTGTGTCAAGTTGATCTTCTTCATTACCTTCGCCAAGAAGGTTATGTTTTCAGAGGCGTTCGTGTATGTGTGTGGCCGTCCGTCACTGGACACGATAACTTGAGAAGGCTTATATGGATTGTTTTGATACTTGGTAGGTGGGTAGTACTCTCCAAGCAGAGGTTTGGGTTTCGGGGGTATTTTTAGCGTGTTTTTAGGCTTTTTTATCGGGGTTTCTCTTTTGCACTGAATTTTTTTCCCACCAAACCCAACCTCTGCAGGCAGTCGAAAACTTCAATGGGATATAAACCTAACCATTTCAACACATTTCAGTCGTTCTGCAAGGAGGTGTGAGCCAGACGCATGAATAGGCACAGTCAGCAGGAGGCGTGTGGCCCAATGAATGCATTTCCGACTGCCTAGAAGTGTGATAATCCACCACAGTAAAATGGATATCCCTAATGACAGATTGATGGTTCCCGGGGAGGGGCACTATCGCCTGTTTTGAATAGGTTTGCCCCTCCCCGAGGTGAGTGCCGGCAGAGGTTGGGTTTGGTGGGGGAAAACATTCAGTGCAAAAGAGAAACCCCGATAAAAAAGCCTAAAAACACGCTAAAAATACCCCCCAAAACCGGAACCTCTGATTGGAGAGTAGGTGGGTAGGTCTTGATGAGACCTGGGGATGATTAGATTTTGAACCCCCTAGCGGCTTGTTATGGTACTGTAGCTGAACTTCCGGTTTTGATATCTCATGATCTAGACATGCTAGGATAACGAAATTTGGATAGTAGAACGCTCTTTTGCTGGGAAAGAAGTGACGTGAGTTTGAGCCCCCAACTGGCCCTGGAAATGCAGGGCTATCTGTTTCAAAAAATTCAAAAGAGGATAACTCAAGAACCGGTTGACGGATGGTCGTGATTTTTTGGTATTTAGGGTAGATTACGTGATAATTGATATAATTATGTGACAATTATGCAAATATGGATGTAATGTGCATAATCTATGGAAAGATTATATAAATCAGCTGCATTCCATGATAGGACTATTGAAGCTTGTGACATTGGTAATTGAGAACAAGTTAGAAACACAGGCAGATATTGATTATGTAAATGAAGACTTTATTTGCATAATCTATGAGAAAAAATATAATTATGTAATGATAACTCCCTGGAACTTCATACTTAAGGTATTTAAAAGTTCAGTGAAGGTGAAAATCATTACACATAATGTGCTTAAATCAGGACCTCATTTGCATAATTTATGAGGAAATGCTAGAATGGCACTGTTTGTTAATACATGACTGTCTTTTGGTTGTGATTATGATAAATTGATATAATTCATGAAAATAAGAATCCTGTTTGCACAATCAGGGGGAATAATCTACTAATTGTCAGTCATAAAGACTAACATAATTTTTCGAAGATATGAGATCAGGGAAAAGTTTTGTTTATGTGCTCTCTATGAAAAAATAAATATAACCAACTTTTATGCAGAAACAAATATCAGGGGGTAGTTGTTGGTAGTTGTTCTTCAAAATAAGCCAAAACTTTGTTTACTTAAGCCGCCATTGTTTGATCCTTTTAGACATGCTGTAAAGTTCCTACTACACTTTTTTAGCCATTGCTTTTATATTTATATATCTTTAAAAAGTCTTATCTAAAATAATGCCTAAGACGTAAAATAATTTTCATTCAAGGCAAATCAACCTAATTCACATACACAATCAAGTGAACGGGTCATCACCGATAAGCTATCCAGCTCATGGTGTTTCTGTCATTCCGCTGCGATCTGTGTGGCTTAAAGGTAGGCTGGTGTATTTTTTTACTCTTTTTCTACTCCTACTCGACATACAACAGCGCGGTTCTGACACCTGTGAATGGTTATATGGCATCTTTAACCCCCCTTTAATGCATATTAGCATTAATCATAAAGATAAGGTACATCCAAAAAATTGTTCTAAAGCAACTGGATTTGTATTTCTAACTTCTTGCGTATCTCATGACCTCGACGTCTAACCTCCATCGAGATACGTTCCCTACTTACACAATTTATAATCTGGTTACGTTCGATTTTAAATAACACACAAATGCCGAAAAGATAAATTAAAATACAAACTACTGCCAGATATTATTCAAATTTGCTATCAGACCACATAACCAATGTCTCCACTTGCACATGCTTTAACCGACAATTTAAGACCCCTCTTTCAAAGTGTCCTTTGTCACATTTTTTTAAATTATCACAAATACTATATCACGTTTCCTGTCGGCTCACAAATTAGACGGATGTTCCCTCATCCGTAACCCTCTCCTATTGGTCCTCACTTCCTACCCCCTACCTACCCTACGACTCATCCTCATTCGTCGTCGCCCACTTCATAGCGAGCGGTTGAGTACGACTACCCTACCCTTGTGTCTGTCCAGTTTGTGAATAGACAGGAAACTTAGTTCTCTTCGGAGTTTACGAAGAAGAGAACAAATCCATTATTATGGTAGAAAAGGGGAACATTTTTTTGAAAACGTTTAAATGAGTACAACGACTAAAATAGAATGGTGAACATCCGTTTTTGTTTAACACGCCATCAATTACGTGTTCTATTTAGGTTTACGTGTTGAGTGGTTCAATCTTAACTACATACAGAGCAACAGGAAAATGAAGGTAATTATGTTTGTTAATTTCATGACCCCGATTCTTCGCAAAATGCTTCCTGAATACCTCGTAAGCTATATTTCGTAAGCTTCTTATTTTGAATAATTTTTTATGGTGTTTTTTTTTAAATCAAAACATTTTGGCCACAGCCATTCATCTTGGTTATACGGCATAATGATAATTTTTACAATTTTTTTAGTAATCTTCATTCTTAAGAATTATAAGTAATGTTAATCTAAATATCTAAATGATGTCTTAAACTTTATTTTCATTGTATTTTAGGCTGAATGTTCAATTTGACTGTGCTTTTCTTAATTTGCGTTGTTAGCATTAGCATACTTTAATATTGTATCCTACATATTATTTAATTTAGTAATGCTGTGTAACTGTTTTTTATTTGGTAAATATCATGTGTTATTAAAGGATTAATGCCCCGACCCGAGGTGTATATGGTGAGATAATCCCTGGTCGGGTGTGATAACCAACGAATAAACCACATCGGTCGCTACGCTCACTTGGTGGTTTAATCGAGGATATGGCAGGACATTAACGTCACACCACTAATAATTACAATTTTACAAACGAGTTACAAAGTACAAGAAAGCGGCATTCATCTGCTAAATTCTGAGCGCAACACAAGCGAGTCTCACGAACTCTGATGAAAACATTTTGAAGTCTACGCGCCGGTGCGATACTTTGTTTACTAGTGTGCCCTACTTACCCCGTACATTATGCCGTGCTCTCTCCGATAGATGACAGGTAGGCAAAGTTAAAATGTCCTTAGACTAACTTTGTTCTGTAACCCGAATCATGTTCCACCATGTTCGATGATGAAATCGAACAAAACGTTTTTCCTTTGACGTCATCGGCGGCGATATCGGTCGACGCTGATTCGTTCCGGTGTTTATGGGATTTTAATGACCTCTGACTGTGTTATGTTTTTCATAACATATAGCGAATGGGGACCTCTGATTGGTCAACGCTATCTAGCTATATGATAATTAACTTTAATTTTTTGTTGTAATAATGTCATTGTTGAAAAATTATAGGTTATGCTAGTCTAATTATAATCGTAATCGGTCAAAAGCAAAAATGTTTTAGGCTGTATGTTAGGTCCTATCTAGATATTTTTAAATGGTACATAAGAAAAATCCCACCAGTAAACCTACAGGTACATCCCAAAGACCTTTTAACCCTCAAACACCCGAACGAGGTCCATTTGGACCCAAGGCGTATATTTTTATGTGCTATTTGAATTTTGTTCATTCCAAAAAAAATCTCTCCCGTGGCTTTGTCGATAAACCTCTTCTACAAGTTCCCCTATTTTTTTTTGAGATCGGCACAAATTTGTAAAAATAACAACTGAAGTCTTATGTAAGACTGTCTGAGGTCCAAACGAACCCCAGCCATGTATTTGCACACAAAATTGTTCGGATGTCCTCAACATGTCTTCAAGGAAGCATTATTGCTTTAATATTATGCAGTTTGCCAAGTAACCCCAACTTTAGGAATTAATCTATCATGTTTTCAGAGGTTTGGCAATTTGACAATCATCTGACGTCAAAGGTCAACCCCATGTTCATGCCTGCAGGCCTTATCCTATTTTTGCATACGTTATGATAATGAGCTCGAATTTTCATGCCAAAATATACCTCTTACTATGTTTAAGCAATATATGTGCACAATATAAGATCACTGTAAGAATGCAAAAAGGAATATTAATTTGAAAGAAACCAAATGGGGTCCATTTGGACCCCGTTCGTGCATTTCCGTCACAAAAAAGTAAGGGTGTTTGAGGGTTAAGGTCTACTAAGACGTATGTTGACCACGGAGACATCACTGGCTAGAATATTGAAATATTCTAGCCAATGGAATTAGCCAATAAAATCACATAAGTAACTTCAGGATGCGCCAAAATGCTGATGGTGCTATTACTCAATTTTTCTGTCACACCATGCTCTGACAATAAAGTCTTAAATTGCCATAGTGTTTTGTAGTTATTCGGGTCCAGGCTCCAAGAATATAAAATAAGTTTGGTCTAGGGTTAATGTTCCTACAGCTCTCCGTCTTAAAAAAAACACATCATCAAGTAGATCTCTACTTACAGACGTGAATATATTGCCAATCATGTTATTAAAGCAAATCCTGTACTTTAAAAAGTTTCTATAATGCCTAATTTGCAAAATATATATGACAAACGTTGTGGCTATCGGAAAAATAGATACACTGAAAGGCTCTTGCTGTAAATGCTATAAATTCCTTGTGTTTTTAATGTTGTAGTTTCAGATAAATGCTACGAGAGGAGTTTTTCACTTGATTGGCCATGTACATGATGTCGATGTTACTGGGAATGGTTCAAAGACGATAACTGTCTCAACATACAGCCCGTCCCTGCTTAATCTTCAGCTCAAGTACATCGCCTACGAAAATACACTATTTGATGCAAGTACAGTCGATCCAGGTAATCTTTAAATCGGCTAATATGAATAATGGGAATAGTGTCTTTTAATACGCGTGATTGATATAAGATATTTAGTTTGTTACTATATTTTTTTAATCATACGGGAACAGGGCGGGTAGAGGAAGGGTCATATCTATTACCAATACGGTAAGCTCTAAGTACATGTATGTGGGTTTCGAACCCGAGTGCCGCATTAAAGGTCTGGGCTATTAATTCTCTAATATTCTCATTCTGACATTCTCTAACCCCGTGGAAAATAAGGTCAGTAAAGTAAAATAGGTTTTATGCAGCTATTAAAAAAAATCCAAAGCGAGTGGAATGGAAGGATTAGAGATCGATGAGAGCATTGATTTTAATTTGAAGGAGGCTCGGAGAGCTTTTAACCTTAGTTGTTTGGTTGCGCGATTAAATGAGCCAGAGGGGGTGAAGTCAACTCCTAAATAGGTGTATGATGTTGTTTTGTTGACGTTTCTGCCTTGTATTTTATATGGAGATTGTTTGCTATTACTAGTCCATCCATTTTTGGAAAAAAATCATTACTTTAGTTTTCTTTTCATTTATTGATAGTTTCCAGATTAAACAAAATTGATCCAGTGTTCTTAGGCATTCTTTTAGTCCTGACTCAGATTTAGATAAGAGGACAAGATCGTAGGCCCAGAATAAGCTACTAATAGAAGTGTCTTTTAGGAAAGGAGGGTCACATGATCGTGGGTTTAACATGGTTGGAAGATCGTTTACGTACAGGTTGAAGAGAAGGGGGCTTAGGTTGCAGGTTTTAATACAGTATTCTACATTAGAGTACATTGATTTTACTATTTTAATAAAGTTGCCTCCTATACCTGATGACAAAAGTTTTTAAAATTGTCCATTTCAGTATTCTACATTAGAGTACATTGATTTTACTATTTTAATAAAGTTGCCTCCTATACCTGATGACAAAAGTTTTTAAAATTGTCCATTTCGCCATACAATATGTATGTTTGTCTTTTGTCTTGCCGCCAAGGGTATTTCCTTATTTAAGCGGCAAGAGTTCCAATTTTTTAATCTAATATCACGACATTGTTGGCCATACCATGGTTTACTAGTGGTTTTCTTTTTGCGATTTGAGAATTGTACTGATTTCAATGACAAGTCAGCTGTCGTCTTTATTATGTAATTAAATTCCTCGAGGACTTTTTCAGGTTGGTTGCTTGTGTAAGGTTCCGACATAAATTGCTCAATTTTAATTTGTATCTGAGGAAGTTCAAGCGCATTCTGAAACTTTTCGCGAGAAGTATCGTCCCAAATATATTTCTTTGGGTGTGCTTGGAGTTTCTCTTTATTCTTTTTTCTAAATTTAGCATGGTTTGTTTTAAGCGAGACAGAGATCTGGAAGTGATCTAATAGCCAAGTTGGATTATGTACTTTGAAATATTGAATTGAAGAATATAGGGGCAGACTGATTATGCAATAATCTACGGTACTTGTGCCATTGTATTTAATACATGTAGTTTTCCCTGGGAGGTCGCCAATTGTTCTTCCATTTGCAATAATCATGTTACTGGCCGAACACAAATCAATAAGTTCCCTGCCATACTTTTTTTTAAGTTGTCTGTGTTAAGTCTTGGTTTTAGTTTGATTTCTGGAGAGTTTTCGTCAAGGTCGTCAAAAATTTGTTCTTGTAAGCTTCCTGTTCTGGAATTCAAATCACCGAGAATGAGAACATGCCCTTGATTATTAATTTTTTTCTAGATCTGTCATTAAGTCTTCAAATATTGAGTTCTTATTTGTAGCGAATAATGGTGAATTTTCAGGGGGTAAGTATAGACATCCCAGTATCACATCTGCGTCCAAGTCGAAGAAATTTTTGTCAAGCTTGCACCAGAGGATGTCAGAGTTATTAGTTGGTAGTTGGAAATACCTTTTGCGATCGTCTGTTTAAATAGGAGAGCGACCCCGCCGGAGTTTCGTCTGGATCGCTTCCTGAGGTTACGGTCACTCCGAATGTATTGGTATCCATTTATATGAAAGCTATCACCGGGCTTTAGCCAAGTTTCCTGCACAGAAACTATATCATAACTACAAATAGTTTATGAGAAATCTAATTCTACACATTTTCTAGCAAAGTACCTTGAATATTCCAACTGGTTAAGCGTAAGGCCACTTCATTAGCCATAACAAACACTAGAGGAGAAAGTGCTAAGAATGATAAGAGCAATTAAAAATGCTGCCTTAACACATTAACATGTATGTTATATAACGTTATAGCAAGTAAGTACTGGTACCTTATAATGTCAAGTATAAAAATACTTCAATGTAATGCTGTTTCTATAGTTTGACTTATCTGGATGACTTATATCTAATGTAATTATATCAGTCAAACAAATGCAAAAGTCACTTCCCTGAGAGGATGATGTCTTACTTGTCCGCATGTATCCTTACGCATGTGTTTTACTTGTCCACATGTGCTTTACTTGTCCACGGTTTTAACTGTCATAGTGTTCTTTGTTTGTCCGAATGTATTTAAAAGTTAGACAGTAGTTCTGACAGTTCGTAGGCCAAGTTGATCATCTTCTCTTCCGGCATCTGGCACTGCTGCAGAGACCACAGAATGGTTAGAACCAAGCTAAACCTGCACATCCGGAAACCTCTGCGGAAGAGCACATGGCCTGGGAAAGTTAACCTAGCCGCGCTCAAAGATCCTATCAAGCTGAAAGAACTACAGGATAACCTTGCAAACCTTATTCCGGCCGAGCTCGATGAAGCTACCATTGACATGGACTTCCTCACCGACGCATGGGAAGACGTGGCTGACACAGTCAACTCTACAGCCCGACGCGTACTGGGTACTTACTCCAAGCGCAACAGGGACTGGTTTGATGAACAGGGGGACGATATTCGGGAACTCCTTGAGGAGCAACACAAGGCCCACGCCGCTGCTCTTAGGAACCCAACTGCAGCTAACCGTTCCAGATTCGCCGAACTCCGCTCCTGAACACAGCGCGAACTCAGAAAAATGAAAAACACCTGGTGGAAAAACCTTGCAGCAGAGATTCAAGGCCACGCAGACACAGGTAACCAGCAACAGTTCTACAGCTTACTGAAAGCTGCATACGGACCTAGCCAAGGGTCGCAGTTCCCAGTGCGTAGTAAAAATGGGACAACCCTGATGACCGGGAAAGCTGCGATTCTCGCTAGATGGGCTAAACACTACAGAAAGCTTCTGAACAGACACAGAGTTGTGGACGACAGCATTCTGGACGACATTCCGGTGCTCCCAACTATGGTAGAGCTCGATGATTTGCCAACCCTCCCTGAAGTACAGGCTGCACTTAACTCTCTGAAGAATAATAAGGCAGCAGAGCCAGATGAGGTACCGGGAGAAATCCTTCGCTGTGGAGGGGAAGCCCTTGCTCAATGCCTCCTCTCCTGTGTTACTGCATCCTGGGAAATAGGCTGCGTACCGCAACAGTGGAAGGACGCTGATCTGGTCAGCATCTACAAGAAAAAGGGCGACAAAGCCGACTGCAACAACAGTCGCGGTATCTCCTTGTTGTCCTGTGCAGGTAAAGTGCTGACAAGGATCCTGCTGTTGAGGCTAATCAATCAGTTGTTGGGTTGCATTGCTTATAGTAGAGGCTTTGACCTTGCTGGTGGAGCGGCGAGGGAACATCCGAGCTGTGTTGAATGCTTTCCAGATAGAGTCCGTGTATATCCTAATCTCCCTCATCGTCTACTTGAACCGGTTCTTCCTCATGTCGGCTAACTGGACGTGGTTGTGTCGCTTTAATGCCAGGTAGTGTCTCATCTTTTCTGTCTTGTCATTTGCATACTGTGTGTCTGCATTCTATCCTTCAATGGTGATAGTTTTGTTGCTATTGTTCTTAGAGTTTGAATTCTGTCCTGTGCTCGAATGTTTATCGCAGGAGGACTCTGTCGACGATCTTGCCTTTGAAAGTGCGAGAGAGAGGTGGAGAGAATTTACTTCCTTCGGTAGTTCTGAAATCTGTTGTTGTTGAGTTTCCGCCAGAGATTGAAGAAATTCGCACCTAGCTGTAAGGGTGGCCATTTCTTCATTGTGCTGACTTTCGGCATTCTTCCTTTCATTGTATTGTTTTTTTCTGTTCTGCATCCAACTGGCTTTTCAATGTGCGTGAATACGAGGTGAGAGCTTTCAATTCTTTTTCAAAGTCACCTTCTTGTTGGGTTTGTTCCTTCTTTAAATCGTTCATGTCCGTTTGTAGGGCGTTTACCAGGTCCACGATATTAATATAGTGTTCCTGAATATCCTTAGAGATATTTTCGGTGAAGGACGAGTCGTGTACTTCCACGCCAGGGGTCTTGTCTGTGTTTGTCGTCAGCTCTGTTTGGGATCTGCTAAAAGGGCTGATCAGGTTCTGAACAACTTTCCTGAATCTACTCTTGTTCTGTGGTATACGAACTGGGAGTTTGATCGGTGTTTTCTCCGAGTTGTTACTAGTCATAAATACGGCATCGTGCTCAGTATACTGCTTACCTTGACCAAGGCCTTGAGGTATGGCGGTAGATGAACTTCCGGTGTCGGTAGCCTCGTTTCCGGCAGCGTAATCTTGCTTGGGTCGCCATCTTGTCTGCTACTTTTCAAAGTTTCGTCACCTTTTTTCTTTAGATCAGGAAATATTTTTCGGACCACCACAGTAAAGATGAATCACTGAATCATAATAGTACCGTTCTTCCAAAAATGAATGGAAAGTACACATACGTCTTCGTCTTTTCCGTTTGTTGTTTTCCGCTCCGTGATGACTAGGACCTCCGCAGAGTTCGTCTGTTTCCACTCCACTTTTTGACCATTTTGTTTGCCATATTCCTCGTTGTAGCGCATTTTGCAAACATCGATCCAGATTGGGACTCTGTTTGTTGTCGTGGCAAACTTAGTATCACAAGGGCTGGTTTTCACGCAGTCATCGTAGTCCGTGTGTAGGGTTTCGTCGGCCGGCAACAACGACGCTGGGACGTTCCACCATTTCGTTGTTTTTGACCGGGTCGACGCTCTGGTGTTCCTGTTTTCAGCCATCTGGGTGGTTCCTTGCCAATTCCTCTGGTATAGTTCAAGTTTATGATATCTCTGGTACTCAGATTTCTCTAGATATTATCAACTATGTGCATAAGGCAGTTGTAACTAGCTCTAAAACATTTCATACGGAACTCCTGTGACAGGCGTCCGTACATGGTGATGTTGCGCATGGAAGGCATAATAATTTCCAATACAGTGTTAAGTACTATTTTTAACAATCCACTTAGACAAACTGTAATAAGGTAGAACAAAAAAGAGGTATTCAGTCATCTCATGTCTACCAGATACATGTATGACCACACAATAGAAAAATTATGATAACTAGATAACTAGAAAGGCCGACATCTGGTTTGGAGCAAATGTAGTATGACTTTACCACGTTTAATGACATGGAAGGGAAAGAAGGAGAAATATAAGGGAAAACAATGCTTTATATTGATATAAATATAGTATGAAGCGACGTATAAATAAGAATGCAACAGTTGGATAGCTATCCCCTACATTATTGGTTAGGATTTTTTTGCATAATGCTTATTGTTGATTTTCAAGATTTAAAAAGGCGTTAATGTCCCGCATTCCAATGCTTGAGAAGGAAAGTTTTACATATCTACCCCCAAAAGACTTGAATGCAATTCAATACTGTCAATATGGTATGGCTATGTGCAGATGTTAATGCAGCCAATCAGCGAATAGATCTCTAAACAGGGTGCACCTGCTGCCCATATTTGGGCATTGGTCCTATGCCCAAATATGGTCACACTCCAATCTTGGCAACACACACTGCTACAGTACATTACCTATAATACAAACAAAATGTCCAAATAAAACCATTCTAAAAGCCTGTATCAAAAGAATAAAAAAAAGCCTAAGGGTATCTGGCCACTGTACCTTCATGCCAAATTTCATGTTATTTGGCCCAAAAATTAAGGAGTTGAATCAATTTAAAGAAATAGCAGGAGAAGGAGAAGAAAAACGAGCAAAAACAATCAGACTTCACCACCACTACGTGGTGAAGTCATAAATATAATAAAAAGAAAGTGAACGTGCATGTGTTGGAAAAAATTATAAAGGGTTGTTTGCTCTCTTCATCATCATGATTTTACAATTTTTACAATTTTATCAAATAAAATATAAATTTAAAAAAATGAAATGATGATAAACAAATATAAGTAAAACTAACCAATTAAGTAAAAAAACCAAGTTAAGCAAAAGTAATGAAACAAGACGGTAAAAGGTTTGGCTACAAGTGAATAAAAATATAACAAATTAATAAATCAATCAGTGAGTACATATAAAACAAAATTATGAGAATATAAACCGCAGTATACACTGATATTGAGTGTTGCGTTAACTTAGTCAACTCCAGGGTTATTCACAAAATTAGCTTCGACGTTGGTTTTAAACTAATTTAAGTTATTCTAGACTAAAGCTCCCTTGTACATGATTGAGAATTGCCGTTTTTTAAAGTTTTTGCAGTAATAGGCCATATATAATTGTGTTGTGTTGTGGCTATGCATATCTGAGTTAAAAATGAAAGTTCCATAACAGATTACAGGAATACAAGGACATTTATTTATTATTTAAAACATTACCAAGCAGGTTTCAATTCGATTTTTGTCATAAATAGTCAGTATTTTTTACCCATTTAGATAAAGGAGCACTAGGAGGAGTAAAGGAATTTATTGACGCTATTATGATGTACCGTTTTTAAGAAGAAAAAAAGATATTTGAGTGATGTAGAGTACGTAGACGCTCATGCAACGTTGCAATAGGTGACGTGGGGATAAAAAGGCTGTAATAATGAGTAATAAACGTCTTGTGGCATAAACGATTACTTATTCTCCTTATGATCCAACTGTTCTTATAATTCTTGTGGAGCTACGAAAGGAGTACCTGGCGAGTGCCATGAATGAAAAAGCGGATTGGGGGGAGATGGTCTGGGACCGGGAACTCCCGACCTGATGATGATGGATTTATGATCTATCACGACACCTAGAAAGCGAGTGTGATTTATTAATATCTTGACGTTTTCATTTGGTTACTTCTTATCCTTGGCTGCAAAAATAAAGAAAAAAAGACATTTAAATACAATTTATTTGTTATGAACCACATATTTTCATTATGTAATTCTTCATTCACGTTGAATACGTAAGTATTAAGATTCTTGTGAGAAATAAATAAGTTTGTGTCATATCCAAACAAAAGAGTTGCCCGCCAACACGATAACACAATAATTCTTATATGGATTGTCTTAATATTTGATATGTGCTTGAGAATTATTTTGTTTGTCGTATAAATTTCGAGTTAAGGATCAAGTGCCTTGTACGTTACTGTAGAATTAAAAGAATGCGACCACGTTTATTAATAATTTAACCCGGAACAAGAGTGTTTTCATGATAGTGAAGACTTCAAGCACATCAATTTGACTGATTTATGTTCTGGTAATAGTTTCTGAAAGATTGTTAACACTTAAATAAAAGAATTTCACCACAGATTACAACATATGTTTGCTCTTGCAACATCGTTAAGAAAAAATGAACTGTGTCCCAAATATTTTTATTTTATTTTAGTCAAAATCCAATTCATGGAGTTCACTGCAACCATGCCGATACACATTCAACACGTTCAGCTGCCATGGTTGTTTGATGAAGGAACAGGTCGGGTACCTTTCTTTTAATATATTTTTTTCTACAACAAATTTATAGTTAATGAAATAAAAGTCAAAATAAAAGCCGAATTACCTTAAAAGTATTATTGTTGAGGAGGGCTGGCGGAAAGGAGTCACGAGCATCCGTGAAACTCTCACGACCAGATGATGATGATTATGATCATTGTTGAAAACAAGTTATGGTTGCATGAGAGCAATTACATTGTGTGTGTAGTTGTATACAATGTGTTTGTATTTTGTTTCTTGCGTGAAGGAAAAATCAAGGACAGAGTGACAGTTGTGCTGAAGACATTTCTTCGTTACAATTTACTGAAAAATGCGATCCAGTCTGTCAACGATGTCTATCCTGGAACAAGAATAGTTGTTGCTGATGACACACCTGACCACCTATTCAACAGTTTTCAAAGCAGTAATGTCGATCACTACAAGATGCCCGCATACAAGGTATTTTATATGTTACTGGGCAGTTAGTATATCATAGGATATTAGATATTAGGCCAAAAAGTAGTTACTCAAGCAACTGGATATGATTTTGAAAACGTCGGGCGTTTCAGCTAGTATCCACTAGCTTTCGTCAGTGACTGAGAGACCAGAGGGGAAATGCAGGTTTATAAGCACAACCTATTAATTGATATGCAAATAAAGTGAAGACAAATTTTTGGAAGTCGAAAAAGGAACAAAAGTCAGACAAGTCAAGACAAGATGATGCAAATTAGACTGAAAGGGCTTAGATATCAGCCCTTAAACACCCGACTTTTTTGTGACGGAAATGACCGAAAGGGGTCCATTTGGACCCCATATGGTTTCTTTCAAATTTATATCCCTTGTTAAATTCTTGCAGTGATCTTTGCACATATTTAGGAATGATTAAGTGTAAAAATTCAAGCTCATTATTTATCAATATTTATGCAAAAAATAGGATGACGCCTGCAGGCATGAACAAGGGGTTGACCTTTGATCTCATATAATTGTTTTAAGGTGATATTCCTCTGAAAACCTGATGACCTATTTCCTGAGGTGGTGTATATTTGGCAAAATGCAAAATATTAAAGCAATAATGCGTCCTTGAAGACATATTGAGGACATCCGAACAATTTCGTGTGTAGGAAATTGCAAATATTGCTGTTTGGACCCCAGACGGTTTTACATCAGGCTTCCCGTTGTTTTTTTTTAGAAAGTTGTTTCGATCTCCAATTTAGGAGAACTTGAAGAAGAGGTTTATTGACAAATTCACGGGAGGATTTTTTTTCGAATCAAAAATTCTCAAATTGCACAAAAAACATACACCAGGGGTCCAAATTGACCCCGTTCGGGTGTTTGATGGGTAAAAGGCTGTCTTTCTTTATGACATACAGATTTTAACCCTATCTAGACCGGGCTTTTTGGGCTTGGTGGGACTCGGGTGGGGGGCTCATTTGACCCCCCCCCCTTCTCAGAACTCGAGAACGGTATGTCTTATTACCACCAAATTTTTAGAGGATGGTGTAATAGTAAAATTTATCATATCTATAATTTGTATGTCGTTATGACGTAATATGATGTCAATATGACGTCATTAATGTGATTTTACTGGACAAAACCGTCTAGATAGGTCATTCCCTGAAAACTAAATGGTATACAGCATAACTTTACCAAACGTGTTTATTACAGAATATAAGGGTGTACTTAGTCTTACATTGTATGTTGCCCATAGCAACACCATTGACGTCATAAAATGAGATCATGCATATTTAAGTTATCCGCCATTTTGGATCATAAAACTTGAATTTTCAAAAATAGTATTTTTTTCAGGATAAAGCCTAAAATACATTGTAAATAGACTAAAGACGTTCATATGAACCTTCTTTTGTAAAAAAAAGAAAGTTTTGATGAAATTTTAAGGAAAAGAACCTGTATATATCTGTTCTTATGATATTGTCCGCCATATCAGATTTTGGCCCTGACGTGATCAAATTAGCATAAATTATGCGTTTTGAATTATAAAATTTACCTAAAATTATCTGGGATGTTATTAATGTTAGGAACCTTGTGTAACTTGACATAAAACGCATACCATTCTATTGTTGAAACTAAAATTACTAGATTTAGCAAAAAATCCCTGCCAGAAACCCGTTGCCATGGCAACACAAAAATTATTATCTTATTTTAATAATACAGAGTTGTTCCCAACAATATTCTATGAAAAGTCACTAAGATTGGCCGTTCCAGCGCTAGTCGTTCAGACTCTAGGTGAGATCAAAGTTGGCGCGGGCACTTTTAGCCCCCCCCCCCCGTCTAGATAGGGTTAATGCACAAAATATTATAGACAGAAAAATAGAGTGAAACCGTCCAAGTGAAAGTAAAATAAGCACAATAGAAAATAACGATCACGAGTAAAACAATAATAATTGATTACGAACATAGAAAACCCCATTATCCTTTGTGTTCTTTGATTTTCCCTTAAGAATCTAGACTTAAATTTTGTCCTGAAAACCATGTCTTGACTTGGTCCCAAATTTCAATCACTAGGGGGCCATCCCAATGCGGTGTATCTATTAGCTTTTCGGAAATAAGAAAATTTATACATAATTCCCTATTACCTTCGCCAAGAAGGTTATGTGTTCGTAGGCGTTCGTGTGTCTGTGTGTGTGTGTGTGTGTGTGTGTGTGTGTGTGTGTGTGTGTCAACACGATAACTCAAGAAGGCCACAATGGATTGTCTTGATATTTAGTAGATGGGTAGGTCTTCATGAGACGTGGAACTGATTAGATTTGAAACCCCTAGCGGCTTGTTCTGGTACTGCAGCTGAACTTTTGGTTTTAATATCTCATGATCTAGACATGTTAGGGTTACGAAATTTGGATGGTAGGTAGCTCTTGTGCTGGGAAAGAGAAGTGACTTGAGCTTGGGCCCCCTACATTGTAGCTTGCTCTGGAACTGCAGGGGCGTTAGTTGAAAAAAAAATGTTTAAAGACGGATAACTCAAGAACGGATTGATGGATCGTCGTGATTTTTTGAAGTGATGCCTGACATAATAATATTACAATTATGCAAATATTAATATAATTTGCATAATTAATTAGGGAATTCTGTAAATCAGCTGCATTGCATGATATGACAATTCAAGCTCGTGACATATGTAATTCAGAACGGCAGAAATACAGGCAGATATCGATTATGCAAATGAAGACTTTTTCATAATTAATGAGAAAATGTTATATTTACATAGTGGTAACTGCATGGAATTTCATACTTGGGAAATTTGAAAGTTATGTGAAGGTTAACTTAATTAACCCTCAACAGAACACCTTCCCGGACTGATTAATCTGTACACCTGGGGTCCGCGCGGACCCCAGAACAGTTTTTTGCTAATTTTTAGAAATTATCAACATGCTACCAGCTCAATTGTTTTGCAAACTGATGTGGGAACCTCTGTGTCCACATTACATACAAAAATCATACATTTTGAACTTTTTCTATTTTTTGGTGAAGAAAAGAAGACAAGAAGAAATACCCGATTTTTAAACCCATTTCAGACTGAAGGGGCTTTTGAGGCCCAACTTTGATCTCAGATAGCGGCTAAACGGCTTGCGCTAGAAGTATCAAATTTGGAGACCTTTCCTAAAATGTCTCTGGAAAAACGTTCATATTAGTTTGATACTAGTAAGTTGATGGTTTTTTTGTGTTGCCATGGCAACGGGCTATTTTTTTGAAAATAGAAGTAATTTTGGTTTAAACACAAAAATTTTCTGAGTTTTGATATTAAATTACACTTCTTTTCCAACATTAATAACATATTACATAATTAGATATAAGTTAAATCATTTAATATGCATAGAATATGCTAATTTGATGACGTCATTGGTCAAAATCCAATATGGCGGACTATATTATTAGCTCTGACGTCATATGACGTCATAATTACACCAAAGTTATTAAAATCTAATTCTATTACTACACCATTCTCTGAAAACTTGGTAGACATACGATGAGTGCATAAAAACATATAAAAACGGAAATAAGGTAATGTATAAGAACGCCAGTGTATCCATTATGATCGAAAGCCGGCTGGGGTCCGCGCGGACCCCAAAAGAAAATCAGATATAATTTTTTTATAAATGGTAGAAACGGAGTTTTCTGCACTGTATTGAGAGACAACTTTGTGGGTAACAATTACCTAAAATTTCAGAAAAAAATCTTTAGAAACAAAAAAGATATTACAGAATATATAGTGCTGGGGTCCGCGCGGACCCCAGGTGTACTGTTTAGGGTTAAACATAATTCAAATCAGGACCTCATTTGCATAATTTATTAGGAAATGCTATAATGGCATTCTTTGATAAGATAAGACTGTCTTCTAGTGTAGAATATGATCAACAGATATAACTGATGCAATATAGGATCCTATTTGCACACTTAATCTACAATTTCTTAGACTTAGTCATAAAGGCTTACATCATTTTGCGAAGGTATGAGATCGTGAAACTCTAGTTGATCTAACTTCTTATTTTGTTGATGGGGTCTACAAATAAGGTTCGGGCTATTTCCTGTAATCTTAGTTTTCCAACTTTTGGGTATAGCTGTAATTAACTGTACAAAAGCAAAAGTTTTACATACAGGACCGTATGATTGGCAGTGTTCATTATAAGACATAACTGAACCATCAATATTCAAAATATCATTGAAAATTACAATATGACTATTAAAAAAATTAAAAGATAATGCGCTTTCCCTTCACTTGTATTTGTGTTCATTCATAAATTTCTGTCAATAGTTCCAAAAATAGGCACTGCTGACAGGACGGTCATGTCAGCAGTGCAATATTTTCTGTTTTTGACATGACCACCCTGTCAATAGCCACAGGCAAAATTAAATGACCTGAAATTTTGTATGGGGATACCTTGGACACATGTCTCCAGAATGGCATTGAAGCTTTTGACATACGCCACTTTAAAATTGTGAAAAAGTTTGCATTATGGCTATTTTCGGACAAAAATGTACATTTTGGCTCCTGTACCCTAATATTAAATTCGAATGACCTGAAATTTGGCGTTGAGATACCTAAACCCCTTTTCACAGATTGCGATTCACACTTTTGACATACATATTTTTACAGTTGTGTAAAAATAGCTTTTTTTTTGCTATTTTCGGACAAAATGTACATTTTTGGCTCCTGTAACCTATTATGAAATCCGATTTACCTAAAATTTAGTATGTGGATACCTTGGAACACGTTCAAGGTATGCAATGTACATGTTTGATATACACCACTTTATAATTGTGTAAAATGGGGCATTTTTTGAAAAAATGTACATGTTTGCTAATACAAACACTAAATGCCCTGAAATGCAGCATAAGGGTAGCTTGGCACCAAATGCTTAGACTACTTTAGTATGCTGTTCACTATTCAGATTGAGCCATTTAGAATACTTTTTTTAAACCTCACTTTGAGTAAAAATAGTGATTGGATTTTCGACAGGGGTGAGTTAGGAACAATTCATTTTCTGCAGGAGGAGGATAGGTCCATTTTTGTAAGCGGGACGTGGTAAAGACATGCTGCATTGCATTAGCAAATGTCGGACTTTCTAGTGTTAGAACGAATTTCTTACACTCTACTGGGTTTTCTTATCCTGAATTTGATAGAATTAAAAAAAAAATTGATAAGAGTACAAAAATGGTAGCCTAGGTACTATCCCCAGAAGTATTTGCCCGCTAACTTACAACTGGGTCTGGACTTGATGACATATGTAACGTCTGGTGATGACGTCACGTAATGAGCTAGCCCGAGCAGGGCGATAGAAAATAAGAATAAGATCTATCTTAACGTCGCTGTTCGAACATCCGAACGGCGTACCTAATATGAACACACATTTCCGAAAAAAGGGCTTAGACGTGGGGTAGGACCAATTAGCGCGCTCGTTCAAAATTTCAACGAATATTCAGATTCCAGACGTAACATACGTCATCAAGTCCAGACCAAATGGTAGTTACCGACTTTATAGAGCGGGCGAATACTAATGGGGATGGCACCCAGGCTACAAAAATGGTCCCGATGTGTTTTTGTTTGACGTTTGTATTACCAGGGATATTTTGCCGGCCGAAATCTTGGATTATCCCAGGTGTGGACGGAATACTTTTTCTACATGGATGACGACATGGTGATTACAAAATTCACGAAGATGGATTTGCTTGTATCATTCCTGGATAGTACCAATTTTCATCTTGTAAGTAAATATAAATGCTTGTGTTGTCTATAATAGCCCTCGAACCACCGCAAAATTGTGAGACAAATCTTACCGTTTCGGGTCAAAACTGACCCCATAATGCTTTGCATTTTTTTACTCTTTTTGTGATTTGTATATGTGTATAGTTTCATTTATATATGAGGGGCAATATGACATAATTAGTTGTAAATAATTTCTTCTCATTATTATAATTTTTGCACCCCACACAAGATGCCTTTAGTGAAAATGACATCATGCTTATTTTAAAACGCATGGCGTTATTTCATGACGTTAAAACTTACAACGTAAATTTTTAATTTCTAAAATGTTTTTTTTTTTCAAGAAATGTTTTTTTTACAGTCTACAAACGTAATGGAAATTGGCTGATGTTCATATGGACATTTTATGTGTGAAAAAATATGGCTTTGTGATGGAAAATTCATCATCATGATGGAAAATTAGTGAAGTAGCATCCCCCTTTATCCCACCTTCTTGTTTGCATAATTTCGGTTTCTTTATTAATTGTACATTGGGCTTTGTGAGTTTTTTAAACTGTTTTTCCTCAGATCTTTATTAGGTATAACTCATGATCAATGCAACCCACAACAATACATAGCATAATGTCTAGAGACTACCGAAATTACATCGAGCATAGTAAGGCATAACGACAAAATGATTACATCATGCTGGGAACTTACTTAAGGGTTAATCACATTTACAATCAGTCATGTTGGAAATGAACTTACAATACAGTACACTACAAACTAATATTGTGTACGTCTTGTTTCAAGGTGGTAAATATATGTAACACATTGTGTTTTCTAAGTAATTTTGGATTATCTTTATATCGGAGCCATGATAGATGAATCGAATATTTTACCAGGGTCACATAGAAGTTCTCCCCAAAGAGTACAGAGGTTACAGTAATTTCTATGTTGATGTGCAGTTCATAGAGAAGGTGTTTAATTTCTGCCCAATAATCCTTCAACCGTATAAAAAACATGTGTATATAATTTTCATCTTGGGTACATATATCACATTTGGGGCTATAGATAGTCACAAAATTATTCAATATTTTTCATTTATGAAGTAAAAATCTGCCTGCAAGGTAAAATTTTATGGAGTAATTTGAAGTTAAATTCTTTCAGTATGTTCTCTTTTGAATTTAAAGTTTGTGCTTTCCATATTTTCCCCAATTTAGGTTGGGAAATAAATAATCCCAATAAGCTTGTGAGGTAGGTATTGTGGGGTTCTTAAAAGCACAAATAAGATACAAATATTTACTATTGAGTTTTGCTATGGGTGTTTTATGTAGGTTGATCCAAATAATGTGGTTTTCCTTGCAAATTTTTAGCTTAAAATTTTCGTTCGACCAAATTCTATCGTTATATATTTTCACGGTGTCCCCTTTCCCCCCGCCAAGTTCCTGCCAAGACTATATCTGTATAAAAGGTGGAAGTTTGGCCAGGAGTGGGGCATTTCTTTTAACATCAAAGCTACATCTAAAGATATTAAAATGGTTTCCAAAATTAGTGATAAAATGTAGGGATATTACTTGCCATCGTTGTATGTTTTTTTTTCATCTCACCAAAGCTGCTTGTAAGCTTTTGCACTTGGAATACATATCTGTCATTTTGATTCCCCCTTCTGTATAACTGGATTATAATGTTTAACACTTTATTTTATCAGGTTTTTTGTTCCAGAGAACCAAAACGGTTAGGTTTTGAATTTCCTAAAGTACCCAATTTGGGGTTAAGATCATAGACATGTTATACGCCAAACTTGTGAGAGGGCTCAAGTTTTTATGACATAGCATTTTCCATATAAGGTCAAGTTACGTTTTTGCCACATACGAAAAAGATTTTCAATTTTATTTATCCGTTTGTCCCAATTAAGTGAGTTACATATTTTATCTGAGAAAATGAAATGTATTCCTAGAGACTTAATAGGTTTCTCTAGCCATTGAAATTTCAAAGGGTTTGTCCTTACGATTTTGAAAAGATCCTATCCATAGCGCATTTACCTATGTTCAAAGTGGGTCCTGCGACCCTGCTGAAATTCTTAACTACATTTATACATATATATTGCTCATCAGAGTGAATGAGCGTCATATGATCTGCAACTTGGCTAACTTTAATATCGTGATCAAGATTTTGTACTTTAACCTTAATTCCTCTTATGAAATCAGTCTGACGGATTTTTTGAGCCAGGGTTTCTACTACTAAGTTAAATAAGAGAGCTGAAAGGGGACATCCTTGTCGTATGCCCCGTTTCAGCTGAAAGGAGGCTGACTTCCAGCCGTAGTTTTTAAAAAACATTCAATTTCAGTGTACATCATCTTAACAGTGGAAATTATATGGGGCTCAAATCCAAATTAATTTATATTTTCAGTTGACGCTGTCAAACGCCTTCTCGAAATCTAGATCTAAACAGATTGCCGCACCTGGTAAATTGTAGAAATCACAGAAGTAAATAACGTCTTGTATTAGTCGGACATTTTGTCCGATAAACCGAGATTTGAGATAAGCTGTTTGGTCATGGGAAAAAAGTGATAGTAGAACTCCTTGCATCCTTTTTGCAAGGACAGCAGCTAACAGCTTGTAATCCGTGTTCAAAAGACTAATAGGTCTCCATTTTTTAGTTCTTTTCTATCTCCTTTCTTGAAGATTACTTCAAGTATTGCCCATTTTTGCGAAGTAGACATAATTCAGGTTTCAATAGCTTCATTAAGGGCATCATAAAGAAAATCAACTTAACTATCCTCTTAACGACCGATAGAACTCGACAGGCAGTCCATCCGTTCCTTGGGATTTATTTGCCCTCATATTTTTTAAAACTTCAAAATATTCCTCTTTTTGCAAGGGTTGCTCCCACATCAAATTTTGATTTTCAGATAGCGTGGATTTAAATGTAACTGTCTCCAGGAACGAGTTAATCTCTTGGCTGGAAACCGGATTTTTATTAGCGTACAATTGTTCGTAGAAATATTTTTCAAGCTGTAGAATTTTTTCTTGATCTGTTACTTCAATGTCACCATCGGTTCTGTTCAATTAAGTAATGTCATTGTTGGCTGCTTGTCATCTTTTATGTTGAGAAAATAAGACATTGATTTCTGTTAAGGTTCGACACATGTTTTCGTGCTCTGATTTGTGCACCCCTGGCTTTTTGTTGGTAAATCTTTTCAACTTCCAGTTTAACATTTGAGTATTCGTTAAGAATCATTTCATCTAAAGTTTTTTATCAATTTTCAAATCCAAATCTCTTAACCTTTTTTTCTAAATAAATGAGATCACCTTTTATTAAGGCAGCTTTTTGTTGACAATAGCAGATCGAGAATTCCTTGATACGTTTTTTAACAGTTCCCACAACAGCAGTTTTGGAATTTTAATATTTTCGTATTCGGATGTAAATGATAAATAAGTATGTGGTATTTAAACGTCAGACACCTGGTCCACGTTTTTGTTTATTAAGCATTATTTTTTTTTTAAATTGCCTTATGATCGGACTTTATGGACGGTCTAATGTCACACTTCTAAACAAATTCTATCAATGATTTATGGAAGAGCCATAAATCAATTCTGGTTAAACTGGCTCCGGATTTCTCCTTCTCCAAGAAAACTGTCTTGTCTGGGGGTGGCATTCCCGCCAAATGTCGACAAGAAACAAATTTTGTTTAAAGCTAATCAAGGAATGCCCACCTGTAGGTGTTTTCAGTGGACGCTTTGACCGTGTTTAAGTGAAGTTACCCAAACCGCGATTCGGGTAACTCACATTCCTCACATAAGGTCCACGTGCCACACACTCCTGTGAAACCTTGTCCGATCACAATTCGCTTGGGCTACATTTATTGCTGTTTGATGATAACAAGCAAGGTGGCGTGTTATTAATCTCAGAGGTCAACGACCTGCTTGCTGAGGCCCCCCTCCCAGCGTATCTCGGCCGAATGCCGAGATAGTCCCTCCAGAGAGGGTGAAGCTCGCCCTAGAACGGACACATTATTTGACCATTACTGATCTTTAACTTGCTTCCTCGTAAAAGTTGGTATCGCATATAAATAAAGAAATATCACCCCGTTATACATGACCAGGCGAAGTTATATTGAAATTAGATTGCGTTCAGACGCAAATCGCGATGCGGGAAAACCGATTCGAAACCATCTCCACATGTAAACCGCCTTGGGTGATTCCACTTAAACACAGTGTCATTCCAACCATTAAAGTCCCCACCTGCTATCAGATAACTGATGCCGTTGTCAATAATCCAATCGCAGAGATCGTTGAGAAAAAAGAGCTCGGTACGATCATTTGGGGCATACTCATTTTAAAAGGAACGATCCTGCAATTTAACAATCACTTTTCTACCATCATGTCCTTTTATAGCATCGACAACATGAACATCAAGTCCCTTTCTAAATAATACTGAGACTCCTATGCTATGAGCACTACCATAATCATGAAACTGTAAACCGCTCCAGTCCTGATCAGGTTCACATTTCTTATCGGCTGTATAATAAGTCTCTTGTAAGAAGTAAATATCTGCTTTTTGCTGAATTTACCATTCATATACAGTGTGTCGCTTATGTCTATCACGTAAACCACGGACATTTAAGGAAAGAAGGCTAAGTGTTGAGGCCATGAAAAATAGGATAACTTACGGTAGCAAGGGTCTCAAAATTTAGAAAGTTTGTTCATACTCCCGATCTGTCAAACGAGGCGTCGGACTGACTTACAAGTTCACAGTCTCGGGAAGTACTCCGCGAACGTCCAGCCACTAAAAGTCCATCAATGCATCGGCCAAGGTCTCGGCTTTCGTTGGTTGTCTCGTTCGTCGGGAGGTTGTCTCGTTTACTGTTGCAAGCAGGATTCTTCACAGAACTTCTTGTTGCCATGGTGGTAGTTTCAATGGTTCTTAGGTTTCTTCTCTTATTTCTACGTGAATTAGGAGCGACGAAGTCAGTGATCTGACTCTTTTTTCCTCGGTCCTTTCTCTTTTTCGCAGCCAAATCGATGTCGTTAGCATGATCAGGAGGACTGGGGGTAAGTTGGACGTAAGCTGTGGTGATCTGGTTCTGGATTTCTCCACCATCTTCGGGTTGGTGTTTTCGGCATTTTGCTGATTAGACATCTGGACACTTTCCTCTGTCGTGGACCGCGATCCGTGTGCCATCTATGAGGTGTTGCTTGGGCTGGTCTCTGTAGAAGACTCTGGCCCTCCAGCGCCCTCCTAGCTCCACAAATCTAGGGATGTGCTCTTTGGGGTTTTGAGGGACAGCCATGTAGGCAAACCTATCGCCTGTCTCGCAGTTAGTGAGTCTACCATCCACTTGTAGCATCTCTCGCTTAAGGGGCGAGAGTAGCTTGACCCCATAGTTCTTAAGTCCGGACGTGATCACCGAATCATCAACGGACAGGGGCACATCTCTAACAGTTATACGAATGCCATTTTGTTGTTGAAAAGGATGAGTATCACAAAGTTCCACATACTTATTACGTAGGCTCATCCTGGTCGCGATCAGCTTGACGCGTTCCTCCGGGTCGCGAAAATACACTCGCCATAGGCCCCGTACTTGCACACCGCGCGCTACGGCTTTATACATCTCAACATTAGTGAAGTATGCCTCAGAAGGGACAACCGCATGAACATCCTTCTCCAGGAAAAAACACTGGCTTACAGGAAAATGCTGAAGTAGCGGTGGAGGCCGTCTGTGCGGTGCCCGTAGTGTTGCCATCCATGGCCAGCGCTGTGGCGTAGCTCATAACCGTCCTTGGGGAGGGGGGTGAAAGTTGTCGAAGCCGTCACTTCACAGAGACGAGTTTTCCGGCAAAAAAAAGGAAAGGCTAAACGTGCGAACCTTTTCCAAACCTAGTTCTGTCACTAGAAACCGAAAAAAGAGCCGGATTGTGCAGGAAAACACCGGATGCTTTCGATGAAGGAGAGAGCTCTAGAAAACGCAGACCATCTTGGCAATTTGTATATCCTCACACTCTTTTTTAACTGTTTGTATTTTGTGCGCCTCCAAAATTTCCAGTGTTCTTCGGCCGGTCTTTCAGCTCAGCTCAGCTGTAGGTATAGACCTTCGTCCTTCTGTGTCTTGCCTTTAGACGCAAATAGTCACGGGAGCAGATATTAGTCTCGTCTGGGCACCAGTCGTTAGAAGCCGTCCCAAGCTCTTTTTGCCTAGTCTCCAAACAACTAGCCACGACAGAATCCAATAGGCAACATATTACGCACGTGGCCGGCTTGTGGTACTGTGTGAGCCTACGGACAGCCGCAAGTGAAAGACCGTGCGCAGGCGAGTGATAGACCGTATCGACTTATCTGCTATGCCCCAAGGAACATTCCGCGCTGTGCAACAAGCCGAGCTGAGGCGTCGACCCACGGGCCGCACATATTGTGCCACAGCACGGCCTTGATTCGTGACACAGAGGATAGTCGGTAGGGATGTGCATCGGTCCTCTGGTCTGCTCTATTACTCTCTTGCACACGGGCTAACCCTCGCCTATGCCCGCAGCCCAATAGGGGCTGCACGAGCAAACTTCAATGAGGAGCTCTGCACATAGAAGTACAGCCCTCCACAATAACCCCCCGAAGAGCTCTGCGCAAAAAAGTTGATTCGTTGGTTGGCGTCACGGTTAGTTTTGCTTTCACCTCTTTGCGCTCTGCGCTCAAAACAAGTCAACTCGTCATGGCTGGCGACACAGGTTCAGTTTTGTATAAAGCTCTGGGGATTTTAAGCCAGTTCAATGTGACTACTAGGCTTTGTAACGTACCAGGGGCCCGCAGAGCTGGCATTGCTGCTCGGACAGGTCGGGTTCCGTCGGTTTCAAGCTTGCAGTCAATAATTCTGCACCAAAACAAGTCAAGTCGTTGGTTGGCGTCACCGAATATTTTGGGTTAGACCCTTGTGTTTTGTTTGTTTTATTTATTCGCATATAATCAAAGTGAAGAACAATGGAATGAACATATTACAGTAAAATTGGATATGCAGGGAAAAGATAAGAAGCCATAATGGCTTGTCCGTGATCTTCCCAGGACTAAATTAATTGACAATGGTAACAAATCAAATGGTAATAATAAATAACAATAAGTAATTGAAATATTTGATCAATGTGATAGCGGTAACAAATCAAATAATAACAATAAATAACAAAAGTAATGTTAAATAACGTTAACTAGAAATGATATGTTAAAAATAAGTTGATATAGGTTTAACTAAAGTACAAACATAAGCAAAAAAAATTAAAGCAATCATCATCATCATCATCCTCATCATTCATCCTCCGTAGAGGTGGAGCATACAAAGTTAGCTCGCCACAACTGTCTGTCATACATCACTGAGAAAAGTTCATGTCCCTCCAAGCCAGTTTCAGTTTCAATAAGTTTCTTAACTGTTATGTTTGGGCGTCCAACTCTTCTCTTACAGGTATCAGGGTTCCAGAGTAGAAGCCTACTGGCTGGTTCTTCACTACGTATTACATGACCGGCCAAGCTTAGTCGTCGACATTTGACTACTGAAGTTACATTTGGTAGCGAACCGTATAACTGTTCATTAGTAGTGTGTTTCCACCATGGTGTATTGAAAACCACTCGCAACATCTTCGTGTATGTTCCGTTTAGTTTTCTAGAATGTGAAATATTCATGACCCATGATTCTGACCCATACAAAAGAATTGTTTCAATACATGCCTTAAACACTTTGATCTTAGTTTGTTTTCTAATGAGCGCTTTCCAAATCTTATGTAATGATTAAAGCAATAACTCCAGAATATATAAATGAATTTTAAATTAAATCTTATATAACATGTAATGGAAAATTAAAACTTATACTTTATTATGAAGTGGGACTTTAACTTAAGATAAGATGTCGAATATCGGTGGGAAAGAAAAGTAGGTTATTTTTAAGATTGCGTCTAAAGCTAATTATTGAACATTTTAGGTGGAGGGGGAGATTATTCCAATTAATTATACATTTGTATTTTACACTCATTTAAGCTACGGACGTTCTAACTAGGGGAATATGGAATTGAGCACTTTGTCGAGTTTGGTAAGTATGAAAATGAGAATTAAGATTTAAAAGAACATTAAATGTGTCTGAAAAAGAACAGTTAATTCATCATGGCCAAGATTTCAAAAGAGAAAGGTGTCGTCCTGATCTCATGTTGTGTCGTCTAGACGCTCAGATAGTTCTGCATGTCTGCCTGTAAATAGAGGGCCAAAGGATTAGTAGTTGAAACAGAGTTTAACTAAAAAGCCAATTGACTTGTTTTGAGCGCAGAGCGCAAAGAGGTGAAAGCAAAACTGAACCGTGACGCCAACCAACGGATTACTTGTTTTGGCGCAGAGCTCTGCACAGGTATCGCGGAGGGCTGTACGAGCAACCTCCATGGAGGAGATATCGCGGAGGGCTGTACGAGCAACCTCCATGGAGGAGATATCGCGGAGGGCTGTACGAGCAACATCTGCAGAGCTCCTTCATGGAGGTTGCTCGTGCAGCCCCTTCTCCCGCAGCCTGGCTCCCAGGATCCTGGCTACCGTCTTTCCAAAGAACGAGGCATGGACTGAAGTTCACAATCTTCCCAGTTAAGCTCAGCCTGGAGAGTAGTCTTGTCCCAGCTCGTCTTGGCAATGTCCCACGGCGTTCTTGTCTTGGAAACTGCTCCAATTTACGTAGGATGACGCAATACCGATATCCCTCAGTGTTGATAATGAGATATGATACAATCTTTCACCATGGAGCTTTTTCTATATTCATGCTCTCACTACGTTCTAGCGTGTTGCTTGTGTCCAGGATTGCACGTTCCATAACCAGGCATGTAATGGACAAATTTAACCCTACATAGACCGGGGGGGGGGCTAAAAGTGACCGCGCCAAATTTGATGTCACCTAGCGTCTGAACGGCTAGCCGTAGAACGGCCAAACTTGGTGACTTTTCTTAGAATATTGTTGACAATAATTCGCCATCATTGAAATAAGATAATAATTTTTTGTGTTGCAACGGGATTCTGGCAGGCATTTTTTGCTAAATGTAGTATTTTTTGTTTTAACAATAGAATTTTATGGGTTTTATGTCAAGTTACTTATGGTTTCTAATATTAATAACATCCCATATAATTTTATGTAAATTTTTTCATTAAATATGCATAATTTATGCTAATTTGATGACGTCATTGGCCAAAATCCAAGATGGCGGACCATATCATTAGAACAGTTATATACAGTTTATTTTCATTAAAATTTCATCAATACTTCCATTTCTTTTTCCAAAAAAGGTTTAAATGAAGGTCTTTAGTATGTTTACAATGTATTTTAGGCTTTATCTTGAAAAAAAAACTATTTTTGAAAATTCAAGATTGATGATCCAAGATGGCGGATATCTTGAATATGCATGACGTCATTTTATGACGTCACCGGTGTTGCTATGGGCAACATAAGACTTAGTACACCATAATATTCGGTCATAAACACTTTTGGTACAGTTATGTTGAATACCATTAAGTTTTCAGGGAAAAACCTATTTAGACGGTTTTGGCCAATAAAATCAAATTAATGACGTCATAATGATGTCATATTACGTCATAAAGACATAAAAATTGTGGATATGATGAACTTTTACTAGTTCACCATTCTCTGAAAATTTGGTGGTCATACGACATACCGTTCGCGAGTTCTTATGGGGGGGGGGCAAAAGAGCCCCCCCCCCCC